GATTCTCTGCAGCTCCTTTCCCCAAGAAAATAGGTCAGCATACGCTTTAAAAGGATAGTCTACCCATAAAATACAATTCTGTAGTTTATATTCCACAGAAGAAGAAGAAGAAGAAATACTCATGTTAAATGTGCTCACCTGTGTATATCCCTCTCTCATCATAACCCCGCAGCAGTCAATGTCTGCGTATAACTCCATCAGGATCTGCCATAATTGAGACACATAATCACGTTTAGATTCAGATATCATGAACAGTAATCATTTCATGTGAAATTTCAAATATTGAAAAATAACTACTGAAATATTTTGCAGTGGTTCTCAATTCCAGTCCTCGCGTACCACCGCTCTGCACATTTTGCATATATCTCTTATTTAACATACCTGGGCCCGTATTCACAAAACATCTTAAAGGTGCTGTATGTAGGATTGACACCGAGTGGATGAACTAGGTATTGCAGTCCAAATTCAAAATATTGAAGAGGGTTTTTTCACCCGGCCCCCTCCTCCTCAGACTTGACGCACACGCAGGTTGCCAGATTAATAATAATAATAATAATAATAACATTATTATTAATGTTATATATAATAACATCACAATCGAGTGAAGGGATTTGTGGAAACTGTGGTTCCTAATTATTGTGATCCAACATTTGCCTCGCATTTCAGGATGAAAAGACAAACATTTCAGGTGACGGATAATCCACTTCTTACCTCCAAGACTGTGTTATGATCTATATGACCTTATTATTTTTATTGTGAGTATTAGGCTTATCATTATTGCTGATCACACATAATCCATAATCACATGAAATCATATCATCAATTTTAGAAGAGAACACAGCATCATGGATGTCTGAACCAATGAGCATTATTCTGTGTCGTCAGCAAGTCGTTTCCCATCATGCTTTTGATCAGAGCAGTCAGTGGAGAGCAACTGCGCTCGACTGCACAATCCGACACAGCCGCCTCGCCGGAGAAGTATGGCAAGCCGTTTTAGCTTAAAATAATCCCAGTGTTACTCGTAATTGCATTTTTACTAGTAACAATTCAATTAGAGAGCTCTCTAATTCAGTTCTTACTAGTAACAATTATGATTAGAGAACTCTCTAATTCAATTATTACTAGTAAGAATTCCAATTACAGAGCTCTCTGATTCAATTGTTACTAGTAAAAATTGCATTAAAGAGCTTTGTAATTGTAATTGTTACTAGTAAGAATTTAACTGTAGAGCTCTCTAATTTAATAGAGTAATTTTAGTAAGAATGTAATTGCAGAGATCTCTAATTCAATTGTTACTAGTAAGAACTGAATTAGAGAGCTATCTAATTCAGTTCTTACTAGTAAGAATGCAATTGAGGTCAAGAGAAACGTTTACCTTTTTGTATTTTCTTTCCTTTCTCTTTATATTCCTCATATTTCAAATAGCCACAGTACTGTTTCTTCTTTGCAACTTTGCAATGAAATATATGTAGCCTATATCAATCATAAAGCCATGCCACGGTCGCAACCAGATAAGCAACTGGATGTGCCACAACATCTAACGACATGGGCCATATAGCGGCACTATAAACATATAGTGATGCTGGGTGTAACTAAAAAGGTGCCATTGTCCAGTGAGGTCCAGTTGGGGAGTTACGGAACGATCTCATATCGCATAATCTTATTAACTGTTTATCTCCTGAACTGCAACTTACACTATTCAGCGCCAATGCCGCCGAGCAGTCAGTTTCACTGGTTAAAGGTGCAATAGGTGATTGTCTTCAAAAAAAAATTTTTATGCTGGTTGAAAGTCTCTTCACATACCGATAGCAATCATTATGTTAGGTGGTCTAAATGTATTTATCTGTATTTATATATTCTGTGGAAGTCGTAGGACCAAGAAATGTTCGTCCAATCAAAACGCTCATCATAAATGAACAATTATTCAATTATCAAATTATTTAATTATTATTATTAAATTGAACAATTGCAAATAGCAGCTAACTCAATTCACGTGATGTGTGTACTGCTAGGCATCTATGGTTTCCTCTTTTTGTGTAATTTGGATGGAAAATGTGTACCTTTTTATTGTCTGAGTCACTTATCAAAAGTTGCTAAAAGTTGCCAAATATATTTTTTAAATAGTTACATTTGTTGCAAGGTGCTTTTGGAAGAAAACGTTGCTATAGGGTAGTCTGAAAAGTTGCTAAATTCAGCAACAAAATTGCTAAGTTGGAAACACTGAACAAGCCTAATAGTACATCGATGACGCGTCGGTGTTTATAAAAAAACAAAAACATGAGACTGCTGTTCTTATCCTATGAGAAGACGCTTCACTTAATTATTCACAACAGCATGTGTTGATTTGCTATGACAGAAGTTTCAAACTGTGAGATGACATCGCGCACATTAACTGAGAGAAATGTTCATGGATCGAAGAAGAGTTTTTGTTTTTGCTTTGTAATAAGAGTTTGGCACAAACGCGATTCATTCACTTGGTGAGCATAACCGTTTTTACAGCTCTGTGACACAACCCGTCAAAAGGCTTATATAAATGCCACAGAATAAGCCTTAAAAGTTCTCGATGTAGAGTGCAAATGGCTGTGCATTTATTTGTGTTTTAACTCGATGTGGGCGAAATGAAATTGTCTGAACACTAAGCTGTGTGTGTGTTGTCTGTCTCTCCTCTTCCCCCTCCTCCGCTCCGCGCCGCACCACGCCCACTTTTTTAGCATTTTTTAAAACTGTGGTGAGAACTAACCAGTGCTGAAACGGGGGGTTTCATGACCCTTTAAAGGAGTCATATGATGCTGCTAAAAAGAACATTATTTTGTGTATTTGGTGTAATGAAATGTTTATGCGGTTTAAGGTTCAAAAAACACATTATTTTCCACATACTACATTATTGTTTCTCCCCTATGCCTTTATTCCTCTTTATTTCTCAAACGCGTTGATTTTTACAAAGCTCGTCGGTCTGAAAAGCGAGGTGTGCTCTGATTGGCCAGCTATCCAGTGCGTTGTGATTGGCCGAATACCTCAAGCGTGTGACGGAAATGTTACGCCCCTTACCATATTGTGATGCCCTGTCCGGCCGGAGCGTAACATAAAACCATGTCTGCATTTAGAAAATGCAGAAATGACAAACAACAAGTGCTACTCTACATTGCCCAAAAAACTCGCGTTTGAATCGTCAGTGGCAAATTCTTTTAATATAATGTATTTGGTGTAATGAAATGTGTTTATGCGGTTTAAGGTTCAAAAAACACATTATTTTCCACATACTACATTATTGTTTCTCCCCTATGCCTTTATTCCTCTTTATTTCTCAAACGCGTTGATTTTTACAAAGCTCGTCGGTCTGAAAAGCGAGGTGTGCTCTGATTGGCCAGCTATCCAGTGCGTTGTGATTGGCCGAATACCTCAAGCGTGTGACGGAAATGTTACGCCCCTTACCATATTGTGATGCCCTGTCCGGCCGGAGCGTAACATAAAACCATGTCTGCATTTAGAAAATGCAGAAATGACAAACAACAAGTGCTACTCTACATTGCCCAAAAAACTCGCGTTTGAATCGTCAGTGGCAAATTCTTTTAATATAAAAAACTTACTTACAGACTGTGAGTCAGAACAGCCGGC